TACAGCAAATACGATTCTTATTTCGCAAAAGAGAAGTCTTCAATCCCCATTCCGTTTTCGCAAAATTAAACTATCACTTGCAAAAGAGAAGATCGCATTTACGAGCAGTACCTCGCAAATACAAGATCTGTAGGCAACATACACCAGTTGCTACTCAGCTATTCCAAAACCATGTGCAATTAATCTGAAACTCATACGAGCCCCTTTGGATCTAATACGAACATCAACACGAGTTAATAACGTCATACAAACTCAAACACTAAATCAAATCATCAAAATAACATCAAATATCAAGAATTGATCGTTAAAACTCATTTTTCAACTTTGAAACTTAATTTTCCAATTTCTCACATAAAGCGCTGAAATGCCCTCGTGTTACCCGAGACCCAACTAAATATGTGTACAAGTACAAAAACATCATATGAACCTATAAAATCGTTAAAATACCGATCCGAGGTCGTTTGTCAAAAGCATTGACCATGGTCAACTCAAGTCATTTTTAAAGCCAAAACATATTTTCTTTAAAATTTCACATATAAGCTTTCTGAAAAATGACACAGACCACGCACGCAAGTCATATATTATCAATAAAGCTACAGAATATCTCAAAACATAGAAAAGGGAGCTAGTATTCAAAACAACCTATCAGGTTGTCACATTCTCTACCTCTAAAAACTGTCCATCCCCGAACGGACATAGAAACATACCTGGACTGGTAAAAAGGTCTAGGTATCTACTCCCCTTATCAGACTCGGACTCCCACATAGCCTTGTCAATCGGTTGACTTCTCCAATGCACTTTCACAGAAGGAAATCTCCTGCCGGTATAGAATAGCCACCGCCTCTTCCTCGTAGGCCAAATTCTCATCAAGTTGTGCCGTGCTAAAGTGCAAAACATGTGATATACCGAATGTACCCATGCTAGGCTAGGAGGCAATGCAAGCCTATATGCAACCTCCCCAACTCTCTCAAAGATCTCAAACCGACCAATAATGTAAGGCCCCATAAACTTTTACCTAGAACCCGGGATTTTATTTTGCAGTCCAGTCTGTGGATCATATACCCTGTTTCATAGGCTTAAGTTTGGGAAAATTTTACTCGACCCCATTTTTTATAAAACGTCCTTGGGGTTATTTTAGAGGGCTCCAGCTGATGTTTTAGAGGAGAGAGTGTTCTAGAGAGAGTGGAGGAATCCCCAAGCCTTTAAAATTCAATAAGGAAAGCTCACAAGGTCTTCATCTAAAGAGGTAAGGCTCTAGACCTTGCTTTCTATTTCGAGTTTGGGCAGAAGTTGGGTAATGGGGAGTGTGATTTTGAGCATGAAAGTTGTTATTTATGCATGCATGTACCAATAAGGATTGTGGGGAGGTTGTTGAACTCATATGGATGAACATTGAGTTTTGGGATGAAGAAAGTCCACCATAAAAGAACCTTGAAATCATATTGCACACCTAGTGCTTGATAAAATGCCTAAATGGGCTGAACCCATAAAACATTTTTCTAATTATGGTTTAACTTTGTCATGTCTCTAATAGATTGAAGTCGCTAGGATTTCTGAAATGTTGTTGTAATTTAGGAAAGCTCAAGCGAGGTATGTTGGCTAAACTCCTCTTGTAGAATCGAATTCCATGATGTCCTCGTAAGTTGGGAATATGATTGGCTCAAGTTCTTATTTCTCATGTTTCGACTCTTTCCTAATAGATTTGATTGTTTTAAATAAGTGTTGTGTTGAAAGATGTATGTACTAAAAATGTGTTCCAAATATTCATATCATATCATGAGTCCCTCCGAGAATGCAACTAAGTATGACCAATGTATCAAAAGTTAGTGATTTAAATCATGTTTCAATTGCAAGTTATTATGCCTAATTGTGGAAGAAAATCCCAATATGATTATGACTCTTATTGCTCATATATATACTTAAATTCTTGATTAGAAATGCCCTTCTTGTTGATAATCCATGATGATGCTTGAATGTGATAGGAGTGAGTATGAAATATGAAATACGCCCGACGTGCCAAGAATAAAATTACACGTGTGGCCACTAGTGCTAATAAAATAAAAAGACGTGTACAGATTATAAAATGAGCTGTAAATCCTTTGTATAAAAAGTTTTTTAGGAGTATCGTTTAGTCATCGAGGAATGGTAGGTTGAAATAGCCTAACCCCGAAACTACACGTGCCGGTGTAAGAGTGGTTGAGGGGTAAAATCCTCGTGTTGATATGACAAGATTGTTCCCCTCAAATGGGATGAGATTGATGTGTTGAGATAATTCCTATTAATTGGGATGAGATTATTTCTAGAAAAAAGTGATGTCGACCCACATGGCATTGTGGTGAGATGGCTTAGTCGATCGGGCTAAGATCGGACGCCATGTCATGCACATGGTGGTGTTGTGATTGGATGTCTTTGGGTGAGATGGCTTAGCCAATCGGGTCGTGATCGAACTTCGTGCTAAAAGTACGATGGTATATCGGTACTACAGATCTCCCAGCCTAAAATATTAAAATTTACTTGAAAACTTATCTTGCTCCTAACTTTATGCTTTTTGATTGTTTGAGGCTCTCATTGATCTTATGTTGTTTCTCCTTGTACTGTTACTCGATTCTTTGAGAGGTTGTTTAGTCTTGCCTACTTGTAATATTCCATATGTACTAATGTCCCTTTTTGCCAGGCCACTGCATCTTTAATGGATGCAGGTGGTTCCACAGCAGGCAACATCGATCAGTGATAACGGTACACCCTCTTCTCAACTGACTTGGTGAGCGCTAATTCATATCGGGGTCTTGTATCTTTTGTTCTTTATGAATAGAATTTTGAGGTATTGCCGGGGCCTTGTCGCTGAAACATCATACTACTATTTTGTATATATAGAGGCTCCATAAGCATAGTGTAGGTTGTATCTTGATTTTAGGAAAGTCAAACTAATGATGTTGTATTTGTATCACATATTTCCACTTCTAAACTAAATGTGTAATGCAATATTTTGGAAAATCTTGAATAAAGTTCTAGTGGTAATGAAATTGGTATTGTTCCTGTAACCTTCTCATTGTCTAATAAATGGAATGCATTTTCACTCTATTCATGGGTAAGGTCGGGTAGAAAGCATCTAGCAAGCTTGCCTGATCGGGTTATCTCGGTTGAGCACCAGTCACGCTCCCCGAGGTCGGGGCGTGACAAATAACCTCGGGCTTTACTTGCCCTTCTTCCGAAATTGCATCACACCCTCCATAGGTGACATCAGAGAAGAACATTCTCACATTTAATGTAAGCCTCATCTCAAACCTTCCGGTTCGTATAACTCTTTTGCCTAGATTGATATGTGCGAAGCGCTCCTAAATCACCTTAACCTTTTACAAAGCATCACGAACCAAATTTGCGCTCAACAATCTAGCCTCACAAGGCTCAAACCAACTAACCGACGAACGATATTGCCTCCCATATAATGATTTGTACGGATCCATCTGGATGCTTAAATGATAGTTGTTGTTGTAGGTGAACTCGGCTAGAGGTAAAAACTTGTCCACTGAGCCCCAAAATCCATAAAGCATGCTCGTAACATGTCCTCTAAAATCTAAATGGTACGGTCAGATTGTCCGTTTGTTTGAGGATGAAACGCGATACTCAGCTCGACTCGCGTGCCCAACTCACGCTGCACGGGCTCTCTAAAAATGTGAAGTGAACTACATGCCCTAGTGAGATGTGATAGAAATGGGCACACCATGCAGGCGGATAATTTTCACACGTAAATATGAGCCAACCGCGCTGAATAATAAGATGTCATCACCGAAATGAATTGCGTAGAGTTATTCAACCGATCCACAATAACGCAAATAGCGACATATTTCGTCAAGGTCTATGGTAAGCCTACCATAAGTCCATAATGATGCGCTCCCACTTCCACTCTGATATTTTCAGTCTCTAAGTCAACCCACTTGGTTTCCGATGCACATACTTCACCTATTGACAATTCAAACACCGAGAGACATAAAGTAATATATTTCATCAGCTTTCGCCACCAATAGTACTACTTCAAGTCACGGTACATCTTCTTGACAACTAGGTGAATGGAATATCGTGAACTGTGAGCGTCCTCAAGGATCAACTCTCAACCCATCAATATTCAGAACAAAAATCCGGCCCTAAAGCCGCATAACAACATCATCCCCAATCAAAACCTCCTTGGCACCACCCCGCTGCACCGTGTCTTTCAACACCAACAAGTGAGAACCCTACTAGGCTCCAAAACATCCAACCTTACAAGTTGGTTGGTCAAAGCCTAAACATCCATGGCTAATGGCCTCTCCACTACTGGTAAAAATGCCAAACAGCACAAACTCTCTGCCTTACTACTCAAGGCATCGGCCACTACATTGTCTTTCCTCGAATGATATAATATGGTAATATTATAGTCTTTCAGTAACTCTAACCACCTCTACTACTGTAAATTAAGGTCTTTCTATTTGAACATGTGTTGGAGACTCTAATGGTCGGTATAGACCTCACATGGAATGATGTATTGATAGAGACTCCAAATCTTGAGCGCGTGAATAATGGCTTTCAACTCCCAATCATGCGCAAGGTAATTCTTCTCATGAACCTTCAACTGATAAGATGCGTAGGCAATCACTTTACCATCCTGCATCAATAGCGCGCCAAGTCCAATGCGCGATGCATCACAATATATAGTGTAAGATCCTGAACCTGTAGGCAACAACACTAGGGCTATAGTCAATGCAGTCTTGAGCTTCTAAAAGCTCGTCTCACACTCATCTGACCATTTGAAAAGAGTAACCTTCCGGATTAACTTGGTCAATAGGGCTGAGATAGATGAAAACCCCTCCATGAACCGGCAATAATATCCCGCCAAACCCAAGAAGCTCCGAATCTCTATAGTTGAAGTAGGTCTAGACCAGTTCTAAACTGCCAACAATCTTCTTAGGATCCACCTTGATACCCTCGGAAAACACAACATGACCCAAAAATGTAACCGAGTCTAACTAGAACTCACACTTCAAAAACTTGGCATATAGCTGATGATCCTTCTTCTGAAGTATGATTCGTAGGTTCTGCTCATGCTCTTCTCGACTGTGAGAGTAAAACCAAATATCATCAATAAAGACGATGACGAAAGAATCCATATACGGCTTGAACACTTGATTCATAAAATCTTTGAAGGTTGTTGGAGCATTAGTCAAGCCAAGTAACATCACCAAGAACTCGTAGTGACCACAACATGTTTGAAAAGCTACCTTAGGGACATCCCATGCCCTATTCTTCACATGATGGTAGTCAGATCTCAAATCAATCTTGGAAGAAGGTCAAATAAATCATTAATCATCGGCAACAGATACTTGTTCTTGATAGTGACCTTGTTCAACTAACAATAATCTTTGTACATCCTCATCGATCCATCCTTTTTCTTTACAAATAACACCGGCGCACCCTAAGGTGAAACACTCGGTCTGATGAATCCCTTATCAAGCGAATCTTGTAAATGCTCCTTTAATTATTTCAACTTAGTTAGAGCAATACGGTACGATGGAATAGAAATAGGCTAATTATCGGAACTAAGATAATGCAAAAGTCGATATCCCTATCGAGTAGGATACCCGACAAATCAGTTGGAACCACCTCTGGGAACTCACTCACAACTGGTACCGAGTCTATAGAAGGAACCTTTGCACTAGAATCACGGATATATAAGCCAAATAAACCAAACACCCTTTCTCGACCACACGCCGAGCCTTCAAATGTGAAACCACCCTTCTAGTGGAGTGACCGAGCGTCCCTCTACACTCCAATCTAGGCAACCCCGGCATGACTAAAGCCACAATCTTGGCATGATAATCCAAGATAGCGTGATATGGGAACAACTAATCCATACCAAGAGTAACCTCAAAATCCACCATATCCAACAACAGAATATCAACTACAGTATCAAAACCATTAATGGTAACAACACAAGACCTATACAGCTGATCAACTACTATAGAATCTCCAACCAGTGTAGATACAGAAACAGGAACATCAAGAGAATCACGAGGCATACTCAATGAGAAGAAAAATATAAAGATACATAAGAATATGTAGAACCCGAATAAAACAACACGAAAGCATCTCTATATAGACGGGGATAATAACTATAATAAATGTATCAGATGACTCTGCCTCATGTCTAGTTGGAAATGCATAATAATGGGTTTGAGCCCCACCAACCTGTCCTCCACCTCTAGGACGGCCTCTTACTAACTGTTCTCCACCTCTAACTATCTGACCACCACCTCAAGCTACCTGACCTGCGCCTCTAGCTGGCTATGCGGGTGGTGGATCAATCGATGCCGGAATCATAGCACGATTACCCTATTGTGGCATGCTGCTATGTGACTTAGGGAAAAACTTCGCGACGTGCCTCAGATCCCCACAAGCATAACAATCCCTCATCTGACGTGACAATTGACCCTGGAACTATACCTGTAGACCTAAATAACCATCCTAATAACTCTGAATCAGAGGTGCACTAGCCGGAGCTGAAAGTTCACTATATACTAGCTTCTCAGGATGAGATCCATAAGCATTGTGATTGCTTGAAGAACCATAGGCAACCTGTAGAGTTGAATGAACTGGCCTGATAGGATGGCTTTTACCAAAAGAACCCATTCCAAATGATGAGGCACCACTGAATCCTCTAAATTATAAGGCCTCTTGTCAGAGATCATCTCCCTAGCCTGGCTCATGATGCGCTCGATCCTCATGGTGATCTCCACAACCTGAGTAAAAAAAATATTATCCTCAGTGTCTCTGGACATTTGTAGTTTGATGCCATATATAAGGCCATCTCTAAACCTCATAACCTTCTCCTTCTCAGTAGGGATCAAGATAGCTGGATGGCATGATAATCCACAAATCCGGTCTCATACTGAGTAAAGACCATACTACCCTGCTGAACACGCTCGAACTTACTGTGGAAGTCCTTTCTTTGAGTGAAGGGGATGAACTTCAACAACTGTGAGATTTAAGCCCAAGTGAGAGGAGGTAAACGTGTTGGCCTACCCTAAACATATACCTGCCACCACCTCTTGGCAGGACCATGCATTTGAAACATTATGAAACCAACTCCGTATGACTTCACTATACCCTTGTTATGCATTATCTCATAGCAACAGTCCAAGATATCCTGGGGGTCCTCAGAAGGTGTGAGGAGGCAAAACTTGGTGAACTTGTCCAACCTTCAACGCCCCAGCTGACATCGTGGGTCTCTCCCGGGCTGTGTAGCAACAACAGGCTGAACCGCTCCAACCAGTAGAACTGCTAGGGTCTGATACCCGTGAGCCATCAGCTCTAGAGCGTGAGTAGCGGGAGTTTGAGCTCCTCCCCATGCCTGAGAGATAGCTGGTGCCACAGGAAACACTCCAGCATGTGGCATACTCTCCACAAGTCCAACCATGCAGACTAAGGCGTCTTGAAGCACTACGGTAGCGATGAATCCCTCTGGGACCTGAGTTGGTATAACTGGCTCGGTCGGAATAGGAATCTCATCATCCTACTCTAGATGAGGCTCAATATAAGGTGTCGTTGCACGTGCTCTAGGCTGAGTTCTGCCTCTACCTATAACTCTACCTTCGCCCACCCTAGCAGTGGCTACAACCTAGGGCTCTGGATTTTAATCAGCTGCGGACGTTGTATATGTCTTTACCATTTGTGAGAGAATAAGAGTAAAATGATTCAAACTCAATGATAGAATAAATTTGCGCGATAGAGAAAGAAAGAAAGTGAAGTTTCCTAAAGCCTTATAGACTCTAGAATATAAGTACAGACGTCTTCGCACAGATCCTTAAGACTATACTAAGTTTGCTCATTACTCATGATACCTAGGCAACCTAGCGCACTGATACCAACTTTTCACAATCCGAAATCCCAACCAATCAGGGTCGTGATGGTGCCTAACAATGCTTGGCAGGCAAGCCAACACCCAACAAATAAATAGGAAGAACCAATAACGGAAAGGCAATATCTGATATAAGCACAATAAGTATAAAACCAACTACAAGAAATACAATACTATCCGGAATAAAATGAAAACAGTACAATGAAAATAGGAAACTGACTCTAAAGCCTGCCAACGGAATGCATCTCTACCTTGAATCACCATCCAGTATCCGCTAAGTGCCTCTCAAGAATCCGTAGGTACCAATATCAGGATCTGACAAGAAGTGCAAAAGTGTAGTATGAGTACAACTGACCCAATGCACTTAGTAAGTGTAGTGACGAGGTTAAGACAAGACACCTACTATAAACCTGTGCAATAACATATCAAAAGTAATGGAATAACAAGTAAAGTACCAAACATAGCAATGGGATAGGGACATATAAAAAAGGCAACTATCAAGAACATAAAGTAAAGTATTTGGAGTAAACCTCTTTCACAAGTAATCAACGAAACCACAAAGTCAAGTTCACAATCCAGATATCAAGTAAAAATAATGAAATTATGAACAGTATCACCCTTCGTGCTTTTACTCCCATCCTCACCATATAATATAAATGCAAGTGCACGACATCATCCTTCGTGCTTTTACTCTCATCCTCTCATGATAATAATAATAATAATAATAATAATAATAATAATAATAATAATAATAATAATAATAATAATAATAATAATAATAATAATAATAATAATAAAGCATGTGCACGGCATCATCCTTCGTGATTTATCCCCACTTTCACTCAAGCAATGATATCAAATATGCAACCAAAGCACGTCAACACCCTTCATGCTTTTTACTCTTCCTCTCCAAGAACTTACAACAACACAATAATAAGCAAGATGGGAAGCAAATCAACTTCGACAATAGTACTTGAACACAACTCATCATATGAGAATCTTTCAACAATTAGTGACAACAACCAATCAACAATTTACTCGTTCTCAACACCCAATATCTCAATAATCTCAACATGAGAAGTAACTCGAAAGCGAGTAATCAAAGAATTAACAATCTAGCTAATGCATGGAAGACGTAATACACGAAATAACATGGTACAAGTAAGGAAAATTCCACTCACATGCCTATCCCGTGACTCATGCATATACACTCCTCACCTTGCATAAATATCACCCCAACACATAATTCACATAGCAAATAGACTCAAATCTACCTTATTTTGGAAAAGTGACTGAGATTGATTGAAAACAAGTTAAAGTTGCTTACCAATGAATTTGGGAAGAAATTCCTCTTCAAAATCACCTATAAGGAGTTTAGGGTTTAAAAATGGTGTATGTTGATACCCAATTTTTCCTCAAACTATTTTGAAATTTGCATATATGCCTTCAAAATCACTTTTTATAATAATTGGTATTTTTCCATAATTTCCCATGTTATTATCAATTTATTTTCTAATTTATTCAGTATTTTATATCCAATAATTATTCATAAATTTCATTACAAGTAATTTCAAAGTATTTCTTAGCTCAATATATCATTTTTAATCCTATTAGGATTTAATTATTTCACAAATTAGCCAATTCGGCATTGTTTGGCTATAATTACAACAATTTTGCAAATATAGCATAATTGTACACTTTATGCTATTTTAATTCAATAATCAGTCATTTCATATTTTTCATATTATTTATTACCTTAATTTCACTATTTAGCTTTAATTTTATTTTTATCTAATTATTAGCTATTTTTATTAATTATTTATCTAATTAGTTGGGTATTTAACAAGTAGACACTCTTATTTAAATTATAACCTAAATCAAACCAACCCCAAACCCAATTAAATAATCCATCAGACCCAAGCCCAAACCCAAACCATACCCGACCCAATCCCTGGTCCAATTTGGACCGTTGATGAATTCTAATCAACAGCCCAGATCCCCCTTATCATATTAAACCCTAACGACTACCCCCCCTCCCCGATCTCTCATTTCCCCCTCTCATTTCTCTCTCAACCGACCTCTCCCTCTCTCTATCTCTGGTTCTCTCTAGAACCTTCTCTTCTCTCATCCTCTCCGATGGACCCTGTCCACCTTCTCCGGTCCCCTCCCTTGCCGAAAACCATGGCCTCTCATCATCTCCTGGCCCCTGCTTCACCCCACGCCAGTTTAACACTACCTTGAGGTCCTCAGGTGAACCTTGAGCGGTTCAACTCCTATCCATGGTCTTTCACGCTATTTTCCAGCCATCCATGGCTGTTTGAGTAAGATCTATGGCTTTTCCGGCTAAAAGCGGTAACACTTTAAGGTTTTCTCATCTTCTCTGGGTTCTCTGAAACCCTAACTCTTAAGATTTTCTGATTTATTTTAGATCTGTCTTAGATCTGTGTATATTATGAGCTTTTGTTGTTTTCCTCAAAGGTTTTTTCCGATTTTTCTAAAATAACTCCCCTTCGAACTAGGGTTCTTAAACACCTTTCGAAAATGCTTCTTTCTTCAAATTTTTGTATTAATCTGCAAACGTTTGTTTAAGCTTTTTCCTCTATTCGAGTTATTCTGATAAAAACCCTAATTTCGTCTCTTAAACTTCTTAGATCTGTACAGATCTGAGAAGGATCGAACTTATTTTACTTGTTTTATGGAAAATCTCCTGATTTTCGAGTGGTTTGTCATCTTCCTAAACTAGGGTTTTTGAAAATCTTTTTCTTCGAAACATTTTCTAGTTTTAAGTGTATCTATGTGTTTTGACTGATTTTGTTGAGTTCTTCCTTGACCCTAACTAGCATACGTCGAAAACTCTAATTTTTAGGGTTCTTCGTTTGGTTGTATTAGCATGACTTACTAATTCTCATATTTCTTTTGAGTTCTTGTGATTTCTTGTGCTTTGCCTTGATATGCTTCTACTGAGTTTCTCAGCCTAGACTTACATCAATTCTATGTGCTTGTGTTCATCTTGACTGTTCGCATCAAGATTTGCATCTTTCTTACTAATTCAGTATCATTTTATCTTCATGTTTTGCTAGAGTCGTGTGCTAATTCTTGACTACCCATGTCTTACTCTATTTATATGTTAAACATGCTGACTCTTTTCCATGATTTTCTCTT